TTTGATGAAGCCCATACTGCAGTTATCAGCCGTGAAATTTATCCACAGCATCATGTCAACTCATTTCAGCCCTCACGCAAGTGATTGCTTTATTACGCAACATTTCCATAAACTCGTCATTTGGCCCTAACACTCAATAAATATAATTCCCATATGGATTCCATTTTATGAAAGCATTTTAATGAAAAAATGTACTCCATTGTTATTATTTCCAATGAAGGGGACCCATCAGCGGCCGAGCGGTAAAGTCGCTGAACGCTGGTAGTTCGGTCCGAGGTTCGAATCCTGCGAACGGGCTGGCTGCATGGGCATTTTCGTGGTTTTCCCCATATGTAACATGTATACGAGGAAGTTTCCCTTAGAAAGTCCTCCACGAAGGCATCCTTTTCCTTAGACAGATAGCCCTAGTGTGCTTTGCCGTATTTAAATAAACGAAACCAAACCATTTCCAGTGAGGGTTTAGTCGCCAGTTTTCAGTTCTTTCTGCAGATGAACAAAAAATGCCTGGGATTTTCCGGAACATACGGACATCTCTGCATCGACAATGCGAAGGAGCATCGTTTTCACCTTTCAGCAACATTCTTTATTTTTTATTTAATAACTGTTTCCGATATTGAATTTGTTGGTAAAATTTATTTAATGTTTTTACATTGGTTTAATTTTGTGGATTCAAGCTTTTATATATGTTTTCTTTTCTACTATATTGTCTTTTTTATTTTTTTTTTTTCATTATTTTAATATTTGCGTCGCTCGAAATGACATGTGAGGACAACCGGAGGAAAGAAACCTCTGGTAATTAACTGCTTATTACATTTTCCCAGGCATTCTTGATAAAAAATTGTCTGATTCGATCAGCTGTTAATTTGGTTCGTTAGTTTTGAAACGCCATTTATGGATAACAATGCAGCAAAAGAACGCACGATGATTTTGTGCACAGCACAATATGAAGAAGCTGACCTTATGCCTTAAAGAAGGTTTCTAGATATTGAGGAAAATATTATGCTAGCTTATTGTCATAGAATGTGACCGGACTAGAAAGTGCATTTTAGTTAAAATTGAAATTGACGGAAACAGCAGTTCAAAAAGCACTCGCTTCTACTAAAAACCATAATATTTGCTAGTTTGACTAAAATTCGAACTGTAGACTACATTTTATCCCTTTTTCCGTAGGTCTAGTGGCTTAAGAGAAACTAAGTTGAAATGCAATCTTGAAAGAACGGAGAAGGTGTATAGGTTTAATTTGGTTTGGTTTACTAAAATTAACGCAAAGCATATTGGGGCTATTTGCCTAAGAGGAGAGATAGGCCTTCGTGGAAACTTTCTAAGAGAAACTGACTCGTATTGAGGATACACATGGGGAAAACCACGAAAAAGGCCATGCAACCAGTCCATTCATCTGGATTCGAACTTAGGTCGGAATTACTGGTGTTTAACGTCTGTACCGCTCGACCGCTAATTGGACAGTAAAAAGGGTGTAAATAACTTTCCACTGAGTAATTAAATTGAACACGCCCGCCCTTCCGCTTCTTGCTTTTTATTCACTATAGAGCTTATTTACACATGATGCCGGTAGAAGAAATTATTTTTTTTTTATTACTGAGAGAATTTTTTTTTATCTCCCGAAGGGGTGACAGGAGGATATTTTGTTTTGCAGAAATTAGTAAGTTTTAAATGTCTCGAAGGAAACGTTTTCAAGGAGTTGATTTGTTTTCTGCTGAAATGCCTGCCCCCCCTGGCAGAATTGAAAATACCGCCAAAAAAGGACAGATTTTGGGGACCGAATTATGATGTAAGATAAAGGCACAGCTAACACATGCGCATAAGTCTGTACATGGCTTTATACTGCGATGATATTCTAAACTTAATATTTCTATTTTCCATACATTGAGTTATATTTTGGCCTGATTCATAAGGTTATAAGGTATATCTCCCGTCCTCTTAGCATGCTTTCGTGGAGTGGTGGTCTGCACGCTGAGCGCGTATTCCAGAGGTTCGTGGTTCGATTCCCGGAGAGGGTGCTCATTTTTAACTTCTGCTGCTTCCAAAATACCTAATGTCTCCACAAGGTGTTTCTGTATACTGTTTAATGTTACTTTTCACCTTAACCTCCATATTGAAACAAAATAAAATTCAAATTTTTTTTTTTTTAATGCATTTTTTATGTTTTGTCTGAAACCTATTTTCTTCTCCCTGTAAATTTCGGTATCTGTTTAAACGTTCATGTTTTATTTCTTGTTTTTTTAGTATTTTCTATTCTTGTATCTTTTGGAATTTAGCTAGCTAAAATGATACCGATGGGACATTTAGTTTACATTTAAAGAAAATAATAAACACACTTTTACAAAATGAAACATTTTCCAAAAAATAAAAAACAATAAATAAACATTGTTAAAATTCTTCGTTTTCCTCTTCGAATTACCGTCATATTTTTAAACATTAAAGAAATTCGTAACAGAAGGCGAAAGAATTTGAATTAATTTATATATTTAATCCATTAAATGGGTTTCACATTTGTCTTCACAAAAGATACTTTTGTCAGAAAAGGCGAATAAATCTTATAACATTTTCCTTTTCACAGCAGATTCCGCTGAGAGAAAAGCCGCTGAGATAAATGCCTTTTCTTTTTCTCTTTTCTCTGAGATATTTATAGTTTGCCTAATATAACCGATGCTAAAAAAACCTTTACAGTTGGATTCATTTAAAGTTTGAAATTTCTAATAATTTCGTACTTTATTAAGGGTTACGCATCGATTCCTTTATTACTCAGAATTTTAGTAGGATCTATGCTTCTGAGGCTAAACAGAGAGAAACTAATCACATTAGCTGTTTTCCTGAAGTTATTGATATCTATAGAAGAAATTATGTTTCTGTGCGAGAAGTGATTTTTTGAAACGATCTGGGAGTCTAGTAAGTTTTGGAGGTAGTTGTTTTTTGGCCTCGTTTTTACTTCTGTCAAAAAGTATTTAAATTATGTTTAAATTCTTTAATTTAATTTTTACCCATTAAATTGTAAACAGAATTAATAAGGATTTAAGCAAAATTATTTTATGAAAATTCTGTTTCAGCCACGTTTGATTAGCAATTATTTAATTTCATAGGATGTTTTTAAATTCTATTCATGTTTGATGTTTCTTAAATTACTAAAAGTCATTAAAATTACTAAATCATTCAATATAAACAAAAATAGAATGCTTAAGAAAAAAATGGTTCCGTTTACTTTCTTCTTTCTTATTTTGAAAAGAGGATTTTACAACAAAACCTAACTCTGCATATCTATAAGCGCCAATAACACTAGATATAGCCATCTCTTTATCCCTGTTTAACTTATTTCTATATTTTAATTGCGTATTTCTTGATTAGCAAGCTTAGTATCGCAAAAAGAAACTATAAAACAATTCAGAAATAAAAAGCTTTTCAACCGTGGGAACTTTTAATATATAGTTAAATGATCGGCATTTGGCTAGGAAATAAAATTATGGAAAAATTTTTTTGAAAATGGAAAAGTTCAATGATCTACACTTTCATTGCTATATGTTATTCAACTCTTTCTCCTTCGTTTCTAATTTTTTAAATTAGTTATCACTTCATTTTTATACTTCTAGATATTCGATGGCATAATACGAAATATATATATACATATGAATATATAATTTTTTCAGTCAGAAATATTTTAATCTCTAGCCTTGCATTGTGACATTGCAAAATTATTATTGTAATTACAAATATTATAGTTTGGTTTATGTGCTTATGGCAAAGCCTCTAGGGCTATCTGCCTAAGGGAAGGGATGCCTTGGTGGAGGACTTTCTAAGGGGAACTGGATCGTATACACGTTGCACATGGAGTAAACAACGAACACACCCATTACAAAATGAACCATTTTCCACTTTCGCGAGCCAGCCTGCTCGCGAAAGTCGAACCTCGTCGAACTACCATTGTTCAGCGACTTTACCGCTCGGCCGATGGTAGGCCCTCAAAATGTAATGATTGGATGGATACATGAAAGTTATGAAGTGAAACAAAATTTGTATCGCAGTATTTTTACTGTAGTTACAGATGAATTATGTCAGTTCCTTGAGATATCTCTTGCCATATTTATAGCGAAAGACAAATGAGATAATAATACGAACAAAGGCGAGAGTTAACCGTAATCGCTACCTTTATTATGTATTTGTTTACTATTTATAAAATTGTATAATAGTACTTGCTTTACACTTATAAAAAGCAGCATTTGCGATCATGGAGCCCTTCAAGCATGCATTCAAGCATGCATATTCAGGCATGCATTGTAATTGTAATTTTTCAGTGAAGATAAAAAGTTATGTATGGAAACATTTTCTTTTGTATATTCTACGTCTTCACCATTTACTATTGTTATTCAAAGGCAGCTTCTAAATCAGTTGCCATCTTATCGAACTGAAATGAGAAAGTTAAAATTCTTGTATATATAAAATTTATAATATTAATATTTATCATTTATGGAAACTTAGGAAATGTTCCAGGGAAAATATCCTAAAAGAAAATGGAATGTTTAATGATGTCTTAAGGTCTCTGATTATGATTCTATATTACTATATACCCTTGACGAAAACATGGACAGCATCGATCTTTGAATAGGTCCCTTCAAACGTGTTTATCAATCAATATCGAGAAAGCTAAGTAGACTTGTCCTTCAAAATAGCAAAAGTGGACAAGCATGTTGAGTGTTTCATTGCGATATGTCAGATTACCAGCGGAAAGCTCATCTGTATTTTATTAATAACTTAACGAATTCCAGCATTGTGTTAAATTACTAGCATTTAATAATAACCATTTGATTCATGTTTCGTATAATTACTTTTTGTCTTTTATTCCTAATAATAAATATCTGCTAGTAAAGTCCTGATGGGTAAATTAAATAGCCATAAAATATTTACATTTCTTCTTTTTAAACATTAAAATAATTTTAAATTACAGTATTTTGTTTGAAGATTTTAACTTCATATTAATTTCTCTTACACAGATACATGGCTATCATGCATCCTTTGAAACCCAGAATGTCTCGCAGTACGACGCTTAATATTTGCGTTTGGATTTGGGTCTTCAGCATTCTTCTTTCTTTCCCCAATCTTTTGTATTCTATGACCGTTGTCGAGGAATACCTCAACGGAGAGAAGCGTGTCGTCTGCTTTATGATATGGCCTGATGGTCCATCGAATGAAAGTTACCAAGAATACGTGTAAGTATTTTGATGCTGTGTCAAAAAGTATTTTTGAGGAGATATTAATAAATATTGATGCTCACAATTTTATTTAACATTATCAAATAAATATTTATATATACTAAATACAGCATTACTGTAAAACAGTTGTTTATCAAAATTAGTGTATACATTTAAAATTTAAAGGATAAGATTAATGCATTTATAAATTAAAAGAATTAAACTAAATTGTACTGAATTTTCATTTAAAGTTCTCAAAAAACAATAAACATGTTAAAAGTTATAGATTAAATTGCTTTGCATTATGTTATCATTCATTTGACCTTACCTTTTGTATCATGCTCGTTATTTGGTACGTCTTTAAGCCATGTGTGTAGTGCATTCGTGAAGGCTAAATATTTTGAAAAAAGTATTGTGAATAATAGAAAATAGCTTAATAGTTGAATTTAATTTCGTTTTTAAATTAGCAAATACATTTGAAAATTTTAAAATATAATAAAACTATTTTAAGGATCTTATAAATTCTCGAAGTAATATATTATTTTAATTTTGATTTCAGTATTTTTCTAATGTATCATTATGCGTAATATATTAATGTATCATTAATAAACGAATTTTTTTTCTAGAAACAAAAAATCATTCAAGAGCATATCATATTTCCACTTAGATTTCATTATAATTTTAAAACTAAGAAAAAAGCAAATATTGTAAATGTGAATTATTCTTCGAAGTACTGTAACACCATTAACAGTTTCATCTGTGTAGCCTTTACTAAAACGCTTACCTGGCATAAACTTAATATACATAAATAACAGCTGTTAAAAATGAAATGCTATTGCTTAATAAGAATTTATTAATTATTTTCTTTACTGAAAATTTAGGATTAATGAATGAATATGAAAATCTATGTTTATATATTATTATAATTAAGTTAATAACAGGAAAATAACTACAAAATGTTCAGCTCAAACACATGAAAAAATTATACATAGAAATTTGTACAACCGAAATTCCTACCTGACTGTTATTTCCTAGGAAATAAGTTAGTATTTTTGTAACACTATTTGTGTTGTTTAAATGTATAGGTTTAACTGAAAAAACACCCACGGTATCGCATCACTGCTCTTAAAGTTCTTTACTAAATTATGTGTACTAAATTATATTTTTACTTTAAGTTACATGCACACTAAGTTCTTTACTCAATTATGTAAATTATTCCTCAGATATTAGCAGTTATAACGATACAGCAATGTTAGCCTGAATTCCATCGAATCAATAATTAGTATGAAATTTAATATGTGTTAACGCTAATTAGTATACAGAATTTTCATTTGCTTAGTGTTAGTTCGTTGTTAATTAATTAAGTATTTAAGTAAGATTTAATAGGTTCCCTGAGAGAATAAGATAATATTTTCGATATATTTTTAGTAGCTGCTTACTTTATATTTTGAAATTTAGAAGATATTACATAAAAATAAAATATATTGCGCAAAAAGCTTAACTTTAAAAATTAGTCAGCAAACTCAGCTGATATTAATCTACAGAGAAGCAAACATCTATAATTTTAGTTTATGTCGTAAATACAATTGAAACAAAATTCATTCTGTACAAAGTCACGACTGTTATTTTCTTTCATGTCTGGTAAAATCATCAATCAAAATGTGATAGGATAAACAATTCTGCACGCGCTTTTTTTCTTATCAAATTAGTTTTCATGCGATACTCTATCTCTACATTTTAACCAGATAAATAATTCATTTATCTGGTTATGAATAATAAATATAAATAATGAATATAAATGAATTATTTATCTGGTTAGCAATAAGTAAAAATCCTTGAAATAAATTATGAAAGTAAAAACTGTGGAATTTGGGTTCCAAATTTAATTACTGGTTGAAATTTTTGTTGAATGAAGAAAACAACATAATTCTACATTGTAGAAACATAAACAACTCTATTTGACGATGACGCTTATTGCGCTAATGGACGTTTGCCCAGACGAACTAATAGCTTCGAAACGGCATTTTGCGTCCGTTCACTATAAATGTCAGTTTCGCTTTTCAAATTGTTGCCACCACACATTATCGGCCTGTATTATGTTTAGAGAAATTAAATAATGAGGAAACTGAATGAATGTATGTATGCTCCTGGTGAAAATACAACGGCACCTAGAACCTTTAAAATTGGAATAACGTAGTCCTCCTCCCGAATCTGTGCGCCTGGAAGCCCGAATTTGGAATCTGGAATTTGTTTTATTGTCTATTTCATATTTTGTAAAACTTTAGCGAATTTTCGATTAAAAAGCTCAACGACTTCAAAGCGAGCAATGGCAACGCTGTACGGAAAAAAGAATCCAGGGATTGCACTTTACTTCTTATTACAGTTCTCGAAACTTCGTTTTCTGATTTTCTGCTCTCGGTATTTTCCGTCCATTTAATTGAAGAGATAGCGCGAATGCACACTATCTCTTCGTCCATTTAATTGAAGAGATAGCGCGAATGCACACTATCTCATGGACTGTTTGAAAGATCTGAAATTTTCGATCAGTTTAATACACAAATATTGTTCAAAAATATGAACGAATTATGTTCATCTATACCTTAGACAGGGAATATGGCATAGACAGGTAATAATCCTAAAATTTTAACGTAACAAATTATTTTCCTTAATTACATATTGTTACGAATCGAATTTTGTATGTATATACGAATCTTAAGTTTTACTAACGTTTATTTTATTCTAAAACTTTACTATCATCTCTTATTTTCCACTTCCGGCCAGATAAACGTGTGAATATGTTTATGTAAATTGTACTTACTAACGCCCAAGTATTTAACTTGTGGCTTTTTGCCAAGAGCAGAGTTAGATGGGGAGAGAGTGAGCCTTCTTGCTACGCGAGCTTGCAATTAGTTGCTGTCCGCCTTTAAGGCCAGATGTTTTAGTCCTCTTGAAAGCTAAAGACGTATTGTAGTCCGCAGTTTGCGTACTATATATGTAATAATTTAAAAGGCCAGTCTTAGTGTTAGTCATTTATGTAAGGTTTTTAAAGCTAATTCTTATTTTTAGTTAGTAGTTCGCGAATTTTTACGTTGCAGGATCGCCTGTAATATTGTGGAAAATAAACGGTAATTAAACACTTCTCATCTTTTCGTCCCTTCTACACTCCATAGGACATAGTTTGTACACAAACTCACTGTTTAGTCAGGACACGTCATGTTCGCCAAACTGATTAAAGGAAATATAAGTCCTGAAATACATATATATATATATACATGTATATATACACGGATAATTAATATGAAATTATTTGGAAAAACTGTTCTACTATTTGGCGGCAATTTTGATCCGATCCCTATATCACCATAACAGGTATTGCATCTAACTATAATTGACATTAGATACAGCTACCCGGACTCATATGCCTTCCATTAATTTCGGAAAATACTAGAAATATCTCGGCCGCCAGGTGAAACCTATATAAGACCGGAGACAGCATCTGCTCTAAGTTGTTGTTGCAAGTTGGTAGTTCATTGGTAAACTGATATATATATTCGGATGTGCTTTGCTTTGCGTTGTGTTTATCATTCTTAGTAATTTGAAGTGTAAGTACTGGTTGCACATTGTGATATTCTGAAGAGTTGCAGACTAGCTTTGTGAAAAGTTCAAGAACTCTGAAGCGTTTCCTTAGATAAAATAAATTTTATTAACCTATCTTTGCACTTGTGTGCATTCAACGAACCCGCACGTACTCAAAAATATTTCAACACAGCATAATTAAATATGTTCGAAACAGCTAACGTTTAAACAGATTTTATATTTAAAATTTTGCGTTTATAAAAAGAACATAAAATTGAAAAGCGTAGGTGACTAAAATATATTACAAAGACCAATTTGTACTTTCTCCAGCGTCTTTGTTAGCAATTATTTGCATTCTTTGACATGCAGCCAAATCTGCGATTCCTTTGCTAGTCTCTAAGAATAACTAATACAGCTGAAGTTTCTAAGAGAATTCAGCAAATTACTATGCCAAATTATTTATTTTTCTTCTTTCAAATGTAAAGTCTGCTTTTAATGAAGCAATAAGAAAACTTTGAAACTAAGTTCTGAAATAGGATATAAAAGGAATTCCCATTAACTTTTCAATTGATGAATGTTTTTACTGACTGTCATGAACAGTAGAGCAGTAAAAATATATTTATTGTTTGGTAAATATCTGGAAGATTAAGTTTCTAAATAAAGGTAATGAAAGCCTTCTATTTTCTGAACGATACAGAATGATTAGTTTAAACTTTAATAAAAAACGCTTTCTTCTAAATTTTTCTAATGCTAAAATTTCTTTCTAACGCTGAAATGTGCTTCTTTTATTAAGAGAAAAGATTAAACTGCGTTTCGAGTGCAAATATGTGTTAGAATATCAAGAAAACTTTAATTAGAATTTTTCACTTGACATACTAATTAGCTTTCCTTTTTAACCTTACGTAACGAATACTTGAAATACAATACTAATTAAAAATAGTTTCATCTAGCATGCGTAGCAATTTTTAATAAAAATAGTTTATGAAAATTTGTTAAATGGTCCATTTACTAAATGTTCTAAAGTAAATTTGTAATTTTTTATTTAACTTCATGTCTATGAAAGTGTTTTTCCAACAACCACTAAAGATGAAATTGATGTACATTTTATTACTGGAATTTTAGAAACTGAGGACATTCTAAAAGCCTGTTATTTAGGCTGAGAAAAAAAGGTTTGCTAATTTCATTTTCATTGTTTCAAATTTTATTTTTAGCCTAAAGGGGAGTTATTATCCCAGAAGTGCTATTAGTCTCGAAACGGGATTTTGCATTGAATAACTATAAAGGCTTAATCAATTTTGAAATTATTGCCATAAAATATTATCGCCCTGTATCATTTAAAAAAATTAACTAAAGAAGAATGTGCATGAATGCATGAATGTTTCTCGCATTGTGAAAAAACTACTCTATCATCAAACTTTTAATAACTTACTCCTCCACTTGAC